CCATTATTGCACTAAACTTTCAAGTTTTGATTAGATGATTGTTAGCAACATTTAACATTAATTAACATTTGTTTGCTTTTTTTTTAATAAGTTATGTAGATTTGTTGGATTAAATAGATTATTATTTTATGGCTATGTCTTGGAATTTTGGGCTAGGAAGCGAACCTACCACCTAGTCTTTTTGCAAGGGTGCGTTCGAGTTCTCTCCTCTGCAGTTAGGGTAGAATAAAATGACGCTCGCTCACACATGTCTTTCAGGTTAATTTTCGTCACGTGAAAAATGTTTGTAACTTTATCAGGACACTTATTCGCCGCTTTTGAAACACTATACTCTTATCGCGCTACTCCTACGCGCTCAGCATACCACTCTGATGTAACTTTCATCTAGTGCATCTAGTCTAGTCATTCCTTGTGTTCTTGATTTTTTTATTTAAAACCAAGCAAACACACGAGGGATTCTCTTCTTTCTGCAGAAAAGCAAGTTATCAAATACGCTGACGACGCCGTCTAAATAGACGTTGGTTGATACGCGCGTTTGTGTAAATATCGCATAAAATCCTCCATCATAAAAGGCTTATTACGTTCACAATTACGCAATTAACCTGCCTCGCATCTGGTGCATCACTCGCGGCGATTACATCCCAATTGATCGAATCTTTGAACACGTGGAGGACAGTAACAGACTGAATACCATCGAGCATTCTGTCCGCTAATAGAGGCTAATGAGCGTCAACTGCGATCTACATTGCATATCGCACTATCTATTGAAACCCGATTGATAACCTAGCGCAATTTATTATTTATGAAGAGAATTTCCTCGAATTTGTCTTTTCTTTCCTTCATAAAATACAAGATTAAAAAACAATTAAATTTTTAGTTATTGGTTATCTTAAAAAAGTTACTCTTTTTGAAACATTAATGTTACAAGTTTCATTCAAAATAATACACATGTGCGTATTTGTGATCTTTTATCGTTAATTTCATCTAAAAAATGTAAAATATATGTTGACACTTTCGCGGCCGCTCACGTATTTTTACGTTTATACTTCGGTATAAGTCAGGAGCCGGTCGCGTAATTTTACGTTTACTGTTTTTTACATCATTATATTAGATCATGAAATGAATATGAAATATCAGATTTTATATCAGTTCAATATAATAGAGCGGCTTCAAGCGTTGAGCAGAGCCGAATATATAACGATCGCAAAAGTTTTAAGATTATAACTCAGTTGAATTAAATATTTTATTAAAATAGACGTTAAGAAATACAATTAATAATCAGTTCTAACAAAAATTCAATAATTGCACGGGCAAATTTATATTTTTCTTTAAAATGAGAGGAATGTTACGATGAGCGATGCTTTTTATTGAAGTCTTTTCCAGAAAAAAGAAAAGAAAATCCAAAGAAAATTCCACGTGACGTCATAAAACCGTTAGCTTTAGGGCATAGTCTAAGGGACCTATTTCTACCCTCCATATCAATTGTACTCGCCTAGGTCAAATTTTAAGTGAAAGCTGTTCTCGGAAGCAGCTGGTATTTCATGCACAAAAGCTGTTTCACAAAGTCAATGCGTAATTTTCGTTTTTTTTCCACGTATAGACGAGAGTAAAATTACTGCATAATTAAATAAAAATATTTTTATAATTATTTTATTGCATTAAAAATATATGTAAAATATTGCTATTTTCATTATCTCGTTTTTTATGAATAATTATCTGAAGTGGTAAAGTGTCCAACAATGATAATCAATAGTAAATAATGATAACATGATTTTACCAAAATTTCTAAGATGCTTTCTGTAATTTTGCTCGCAAATTTACAAAATACATTTATAATTATATTGTAATCGTATATGATTATAACTATTCACAAAAATATTCAAGTTAAATTAAGAAATTAGTAATTGAAATTTGATGTTGAAACTAACGGAATTAAAAAACAAATGTAACAATTAGAATGCTTTCGGAGTACATGCATCATATATACCAAATCGATACATTAAACTATGCGTGCAGCATACTGACGACGAAATGCAAATAGCTATCATGATCACAATTTCGCAACACAATGTTACGCAAGTGTAGTTTTCTATTATTTTTAACAATGAACTCAAAAAGTTTGCCAGGCTCATTAACTTTGCTTACATCTGCATTAATAATCAGTTCTAACAAAAATCCAATAATTACACGGGCAAATTTATATTTTTCTTTAAAATGAGAGGAATATTACGATGAGCGATGCTCTTTATTGAAGTCTTTTTTCAGAAAAAAAGCAAAAAAAATTCCACGTGGCATCATAAAACCGTGACTAGAAATTTTTAGTACTTCTCTTTTCAGCTTATTTTCTATTAACTAATAATTAATGCTAAAAAATAATTAATTGTTAGAACAATTAATTAATTGTTAGAACCATTAATTAAACATAAAAAATAAGTAATGATTAACGGCATACTGTTCCAAACGTGTATCACAAATTACTATTTTGCTGCTTAACACACACATGCATAAAATGTTTAATAATTATTGTATACGAATGTCATTTGTTCACATCGAAACGACCGAGACTGAGTATTAGTTCGCAAAATCGAAAGATGAATCAAAACGTGACTGTGTGAAACTTATACCGGTGCAACACGAGTACCGCAATCGCGCGCCGTCAACGGTCGCCGTAAAACTGTCCAGCCTGAACCCTGAGAACCTTATCCCACCCTGAGTAAGCTTTACACGTGTTATACGGCAGTGCCGTATTAAAGACAGAAACACACAAAGCTAAGATTGAAAACGTGGCACAAAAAAATGACAGAAATTTATTCTGCAAAATTGAATGATTAATTAATTTTTATACGTATGCGCAAGTATTTTCGTTAAAAAAGCTATTTCTTAAATCATTCTTTTTTACTTGATAAGTAAACAAGCTAAAAGGTACAAGCAATAATATTTAATTGCAAAAATAAGATTAAGGGTGTTAAATGGAATAAAAGGAAGAATAAAATAATTTTGAAAAAATGTAAAAATTAGAAAATTAGAAATTCGAAAATTTATAAATTTTGTTATATTCTAATTAACAATTTTACATCAAAAATTGAATACTCCAATTAATAAGCTTGCAAAATTGCGATAGATTATTGTCAAATTATATCTTTATGTATTTTTTTCGCTGTTATTACGTTATATCTTTCAAGTTTACATTTGGTAAAGATACGAAAAAAAATAGTCGATGAAGAGAAAGTAGATGACCGGTTCCCACCAGCAGAGTTTTGAAATCAACGAATCCGACTACCTGATCGGATTCACGATTCCTCTCATGAAGTATTTACAAATACTAAGCTTTGTACGGTATTGATCGAAGCATGGAATTCGAAGAAAATTGTTGCAGTGTACTATAGGTTTAACTAATGCTTAAGCTATTTATCGTCTGTCTGTCAGCCGAGTTATTTTGCTTCACGTACAATATGAAAATAATACTTTTAATCTTTATACTCCCGCGATAATATCATCATTTATTATGTATTCATACAATCATAGTAAATAACATGACATGCACTTAAATGTTTAACCGCAAAGCGAATGCAAATAAAAAATTAATAGAAAATTTAAAAAACTCTGAAAATTAGAATATCTATTCAATCAATTTCAGAATTCTGTGTCTATTAATAAGGGTCTATAATAAATCAGAATTCTGTGTCTATAAATAAAGGAATACAAGCTTCAACATACCATTGATACATTAAAAATAATTAACAAACGCAAATAATATTGATAAGAAATCGAGCAGATGACACGATAACGCGATAAACCGTAGATTATAACAAAATTTTTAACCGGTGCGGATTATTGTGAGATTCTGCGAAATATCGAAAGAATTCCTTGGCACAAGCATGCTCGGCCAAGCGGACACGTGATAGGATTACAGGATGAACGAAGAGACGACTTAACCTACAACCTACAACGCATTTGCACCGGGCGTTCTTTTCCTTCTCGACTTACTCGTAACTTCCATGCTGCGCGAATGGGTTTTTGAGGTGCATTATTCAGCTGGTGACACCGTCGGCGGTAACACGAGCGTTGCTGTACCAGAGATGCACTGTCGTTGCCGTTGGTATGGTCGCGATCGCCGCGATCGATGATGGATACGATCGAAACTGCGTGCTGCGAAAGCATCTCGAACGATCTCACTGCCGTGATCGCGCAACAATGTGTTGTATACGCGCACGCACAGCACGCGTGTGTGGGATGCAGGGGCAAGGGACTCGAGGGACTGCCGCGTGAATTGGGACTCGTTGGAACCGGTATAATATCGTTGACTCGCATTCCCGACGCGGCGGATGTATACATACTACCAAAACGATCTTGGCGTCGATCGTGACAATGGAAACGCGATGAATGACGTTAGGTAAATTTTGCCGTTTATCATGAAGAATTAAATTTGCCGAAATTTTCACGCGTTCAATTGTGGAGCTCGGCAAATATTCCGAATTGCAAAATACCGAAATGAGGTAACAGCAATGTACGCGATAAGAATGGAGACAAATTGAGTATGGACTTACGTAAAGAGGTTAGCTTCGTGCCTTTTCTTTTTCTTCGAGTGCATCCAATTACGAATGTGATGTTTCTTGCTATTACTCTCTTTCTTCGCCTTGCCATGTCCGCGCGATTTACCGTGTCCGCTCGAGAACATGCTCTGTTTACGGTTAAAACAAACTGCTACGCACTTGTAGTTGTGTCACACTACGCATCTGACAAACGTTCGTTTCTTTAACTGCATGTTTTATTAATACATCTTATGTATTCAACTCCGTCATCATGTGATGACACATAATCTTCCGGAGTCATATCCTCGCGATGATCTCGGAAATCGCGTGAAAACTGCATGGAAATTCGCGAGATAACGAGCAGCCGATTGGCCGCAACACTGACTGAAAACGGAGAAGGATTCAGCTGGTTGTGCCACTATCGGCTAACTGTACACGCGTAATGGGTATGTGAATGTGCGTAACGTAACGCTGTGTGACGCGGACGGTGAAAGAAACAAGCAAAAATTCAGCAACAATGTACGGCACGTTTGGTATCGCGCGTATTTTAATTCATTTTGCAAAAGCTTAAGAATGTCTACTTCTATATTACTATAAAAATTCTTCAGAACACAACTCTTAAGAAACTATTTTCGTCGTCGTTTTTAATTCACTTTTTATTAGCAATGCACATAACTCAGGAAACAATTGTATTATACATAATTATTATTTAATAGGCACAATGTCAACTAGTGACGGCATTCGAATGGTTAATGATGAATAGCGTAGACTTAATTGCTGGTGTTCCTGCAGTGTCATTCTAGTGATTATCCTTGATCTCGATTTCTCATGCGCAATGGGCAGATTTCATCAATTATTTACGTTACGCTCGATCGCAAGCGATTATTTTGGAATTTTAGTGGTTCTACTGATGTCAAGCATGGTTCTTATAATATATTTATAAAAAATTCGAAAAAATATGTGGATGACGGTGTAGTATTTTTTGATACACATCAGGTTACCAGAATGTTAATGCAAATTACCAGTCTCAGCAGATATATCTCGCGAGCATATTTTAACATGTAAATTAAGCCGTGGACGCTTAGTCGATGAGAACTTTCTGTTAGTGAATAACAATGAGAAGCAAAAAAGAATTACACACAACCGCAAAATTCGTTTAAAATTAATGCCGAGTTAAAGTTTTCAAGCAATTAAAAAACATAGCATTTTAACACTTTTATCGTCTATGCATATATAATTTAGCAAAAGGATTATATCAACATAATCACTGAGGTTCAAAATCGAGGAGTAATGTTTCTCTTGCAACACTGTTTTCGCCGAAGTTGATTTTTTCTCACATAAATATCTCGATATGCACGATGACCGGTCGTTCGACATTGATTGCATTAACTGCGATAAATCATGATTTACGAACGTCACGGATAGAAGTCTGAATAAGGATAAATATACACGCTAAGAGCAAGTAGACTCACTCTTCTTTGTCCTTTTTGAAAACGACTGCAAAGAAGTTATTTTCCTTTTTCTCGTCTTTCCAAATATGTTTCTTTCCCATTTCGATTTCTCTTTTTTTTTACGGTATTCACAAGACTTGTACTCGTCAGAGAACATAACGACGGTTCGTCGGCATGTTTCACCAATGACTAAACCGAGCAAACTGCCGTGCATGGCAAGCGTTTGTAACTAACTCGCAACAAACACTCTCTCAAAGCTTCATGCTTTATTAATGGACGTATTGAGTATTTAACCCCGTCGTTGCGCGCGACAATACAAAATCGTCTGCGGTGCTTAACCTCGCGGCTCTAGAATTGCGCAAAATTGCATGGAAATGGTAGCAGGCAGACGACGATGATAGATGAAAATCTAGGATGAAGATTACGAATCATAACATATGAAGTATGAGTGCAATACCATTTAATGACAAATTGTTGCAATCTTACATTGTGCTAGGCAGGATTCCGATTATCCGTCCCTTCGGCTCGTTTTGCGCCGGAATTCCACTCTGTTTTCTCTCTTCTCACCGCCGAATATTAAATAAGGCGTATTTGCGCTTCGCCGAAACGTACCTTACGCTCCTTTCTCGGCTCACGTCGCGCTTCCTTTTTGAGACGCGCATGTAAACGTGGTCGATATGAAACCGGTTCTCAGCAAGCGAGAGAAGCGTGCGAGGATAAAAAAATCGGAACTCTCGTGCCCCCCCAACGTCTCTCGTAGAATATATCTCGTACAAATTATAATAGCTGCTATTTGTTGGCGCTCGCATTCGCGTGCAGAAATGCCCGGCCTTCTACACGGAATCGGGTACGGTACACGGTCTAACGATTCGCAACATTCATTTGCTCTTTAACGCTAAACTGCAATAATTTCTCATTTTGGCACGTGTGAAATTCGCTCCGTGCTGTGTTAGTTTCTTGGAAAATTTGCGCGCATTCGTCACTCGGTCGTCGAGTTAGCACGTGTAGAGTTACGCAAAGTGCCCATTTCAGAGACATACAACACCGCTAGCACTTGAGGCTGGCCACCGAGGACGAGATATCGCGTTCAAAAGGAGGGACGGAATATTTAATGTTGAGGTGTGTACAGCGTGTTGCACCGCCGCCGCCCGGCGCCGGCCCATGTGCGAATCCTACCACGAATGTCAAACAGACCGTGACAGAAAACTTTTGCATGTCCATTGTCTTCGTTAGACCTCTAGAGGTGAAATTTCGCAGATGCTCACTAAGAACCTACAAATTTTGTATCTGTGAAAAAAGCAATTTAGAGACGAGAACTAAAATATTTTACACATTATTTTATATCTTGCGAGAATTTTTACTATAGAGAAGCAAAATTTAATCAATGATTGTCCCTACATTTTATTTTGCGGCCACTTTTACGAGGCACATATGAGAATAATCCAGTAAGCAAAATATCAGCAATGTTGGCAATTTGATCAAATTTGTTGTCAACTTGCTTACATTGCTAACATTTGGCCATCTGTTAAAGCGAGCTGTGTGAAAAATTCACATTTTACTCGTGCATCTCGGCACTAGAGAGTGAGCAATATTTGCTTATTGACGAATTGTGTCTGCCGGTTCATTTACCGCTTTTCGTCGGGCAACGACAGCCGTGGGCGTAATGACAATTCGGTCAAATGTGTACTCGGGAAGTCTGTAACCTCGACGTAACGAACGCGTAACATCACGCACGCACGTTCGCTCGCACACACGCGTCCATTCAGTCTCACGTACGTGCGAATGTACGCACATATCGCACACTCACCTGCTGCCGGACCTGCTCGACGTTTCTTGCGTGTAAACATCCGCGTGAACGAGAATCGCCGTCGTTGGGTCTGCTCCGCCTGTCATCCTCTCCACTGTCATAATGGCCAGAACGAACTTATTATAGCGCGCCGGCGTCTTGCACTTCGCTGTCACGTGGTCGAGGCTGATCTCTTGTTTCGAGTTGAAAAAGTCCTACGCTAGCCGGAATTTGTCACTGCGTGTGCCACACGCGATATCTATGATTTGACTGAATGAATGAAAAACGCAAGACACATAGCTCTTCACAAATACAATTGCTGCGCGAACGATTGAAAGAAAAAAAATTATTTATCTCGCACAATATCAGTGATATCAACTTAATTCGCCGTACGATGTATCCCGCGCAATAATACTGATCGGCGATCATTAAACAAATCGTAATGTGAGCAAAGAACGCGCGCGACTAGCCTTCACCGTGGTTTATACTTCGACAATCCGTGAACAACTGACGACTTTCGTCTGTGGCCTACGCACACGCTTGGCCGACCGGGAACCCTCCTAAATCTCTACAAGTAACACCCCTCCTTCTCACCCTCTATCTTTGTTCTATACGTTTGCTACTCTCTATGTGGCAGTTAACGAAGACCGAATGTTTTTCGACGAAAAATGTCTCAACCATTTATCGAAAAATTTATCGAAAAATTTTATCAACTTTATGCCGAAGAACTTTTTTAATGAATATTAAATAACGTTAATTGATAGTTTTATTATCTTTCTATCTCTTTTTAGAAATGTAATCTAGAAAAATTTTTAATTTTACTTAACAGAATTAAAATCTTTAATTAACGTTTACAGAAGCTACTTAAATGCTTTTTCGAAAATATATTTTCTATGTGACATATTCTATGTTGAGCCAGCAAAATGGCAATTTAGCTGGATAAAATTGGCGAATCTAAAGTAATTTTTAATGAACACGAAGTAGATATATTTATCGCTGTCTGCAGATATCGAGAAAATTAATCTCACCGGAATTAAGCGATTCGGATCGCTAGGAGCATCACATAACTATTTACGCATACAGTTCATTTTCGTTTACTCTTATAGCGCATTTGCGCGCATCACGCGTCACGTTTGGGGCTCAGAGAGGGTCTGTCGCTGCCCCTTCTACAACGTTCTTATGGGGTCCTTTGTTGCACGCCGCCTGCCGAGCCGTCCGGTCGTCTGGGAATGAATCGGAAAGCCTCAATTTCCAAGAGTCACGTTACGGGCATTTATAAAGGAATATCCTTCATGTTTTGAAAGAACAAAAAAAACTTTTACTATTTCAAACTAATTCTACATTTCATGATTAGATATACTCAGCATGAAATATGGAGTCATACAATAGTTTCAAGAGAAAGTGAGAATTGCAAATGTTTAGATATATATTATATAACTTCATTCTATTATTGTTGTAATATGTTTGTAACATGTGAAAAATATAAAAGCGATAGCAAGAAAAGATAGATATTGATAAATTGCCATGTACACTAACTTATATATTTTTACATAATCATTGTTATCAGTCGTCAGCAATCTTACTATATATCACTCGTTAAATTCGTTAGCAAGTCTGCTTATCGTAAAGCACACAAATACGATATGACGATATATTCATGTAATTTATATGCACATTATCATTTATTTTACGTGCTTAACTGAGTGATAATTTAAAAAAAAATAATTTCGAGATATTGTTGTTAAAAACTAAATTTTAAAAAATTTGAAAAGACATTCAAAAATAATTAATAATTTTAAATAAAAGTTTCGAAAAATAATACTGGAATACTTGGCGAAAACAACATAGAAGAATATAAAACAATAATTATTTTATTTAAAGAACTTTCACCTATACAAAATTAAAAAAAAAACACAACACTTAACGCAATAAAAATGCTTTTAATGATTAAACACAATATAATTTAGAATATTTTTAGATTTTATTATTTCCTCTTTTAACGTGGCATAGCAATTTATTCAAATTTTTGTGGGCTCCTTTCTCTTCTTTTCCGTTTTCGGTACGTCTTTGTTATTAGTTTTCTTTTTATTATCTTGAGTCTTGGAAACAAATTCGAAAACATCGTCTGCTAAAAGAGCTGGTTCCTCAAGTGCAGCGAAATGACCTCCACGTGGTAAATGGTTAAAGTGTATCAAATTTATATATCTCTGACGAACGAGACTCTCCGAATCATAAAAAATCTCATGAGGAAATATCGCACATCCCATTGGCACATGAACTTGCAGTCTAGAAATTAAACGTACGTTAGCACAGAAAACAATTTGCAAAAAGAAAAAGACACTCACTCTTCTATTTTGCTCGCATAATGTGCCTTGTTAACTTGCTCGGCGTAAATACGAACGCTCGTAGTAAAAGAATTGGTAACCCAATAAAACATAATGTTATCTAAAAGTTCATCTAAGGTGAATTTCTCGAGCAAACCGCCATCAGCACGCAATCTGTATTCTGAGTTTGTTGCTGTACTGAATTTTTCCAAGATATATCCTGCTAATCCTACTGGCGAAGCTGCCACAGCAGTGCCTATAAAAAAATAATTTTCAATTATTTAAATTTCTCAAAAAATAAATTGCACATTGCACGCATTATATTAAAATGTCTCAAATGTTTAAAAGTGAAATTGATATATCAGCTAGTAGTTTAACAAAGAAACGTTAGGAAAAAGAATTATTAATTCTTCTTTTTACGTTTTACCTTAAAGTTTAATTACAGTTGACTTTTCAAAATTAAGAATTTATAGACTTGTATTTAAAAATACAGAATTTTACTATGAAAATTTTTTCATATAGACAAATACCTATAGTATCCGGTTTAGTAGCTTGTATATGAAAGTATCCTGATTCTTCAATGAGAAAACTCAAGTGAGATTCTAAAGGATACATTCTAGAATAATGTTCACTCTCGACTACGAGTGATGGGATAAAAACACCAAGCAATTTCCAAAAAAAGTTTGACTTGCTCATTACTACACACATATTCAAATGGCCGCCAAGAACGCTGAAAAATAACGATTACTTTGTATTTATACCGGTTATTTTGTATTTTTTTATACGTCTTATTAAATTACCACTACGTATTATTTCTGATACCCACTTGTCTGGGAAGAAAATAGCTATATTCCTGGCAATAACTGAACCCCAGTCTCCTCCCTGTACGTAGAACTTGTTGAAGCCAAGACGTAACATAAGATTTTTGAATATAACAGATATCTGAAAATAATAAACAATTGACTATATTTACGCGCCGCAGAGATAAATATCAAATATTAACAATATCAATACATTATTTTTATACTGTCTTGGATTATGTGATGCACAAGATTATTCGTATTTTTTAACAAACTTTACCTGTGCCGGGCCCATTCCTGGTCGTACAGCCGCTTGCGAAAATCCATATCCTGGAAGTGAAGGTGCTATCACCTCAAATACAAAGTCTTTGTCAGGACGCGGTGTCGTTAATATAGGCAAAATTTTTTGAAATTCCACCACGGATCCTGGCCAACCATGTAGAATTAACAGCGGAAGAACTTTTATATTTTTTCGCTCCGGTGGAATATGTGGTTTCACATGATAAAAATGTATATCCAGACCTATAGATAAAAGAAAAAAAAACAAGAAAATAATTTTATGCAATGAATCAGCAAACTACTAAATTGCCACATTGATTTAAATAAATTTATATTCAATAAAAAGCGATTGGTCTTTTGTCATTTGCGAAGTTAAGAATTACAATTAATAGTCAATCGTTTACACTCAACCAACTGCACTTTGTACTGAGATAAAAAGCTCATTCTACATACAATATTGTAACTACTGTGGATGAATTATTTAAGTCGCTATTTATTACTTTCCGTTAATTGCAAATGCAGGAAACAATAAATACCAAGAACAAAAAAAAAACATTTTACGAATATGTCGTATTTCCAGTTATTTATTCATTTATTATAAAATTTTTACGAACATTTTTTTTTTCTTTTTTCTTTAAAAATAGCGATGAGTCACTGACAACAAAAAAAAACAATAACAAAAAATGTATTACCTTGTATATTGGTTACATACTGAGGATATTTGTTGAGCAGTGCTTGCCGTTCAGTCCAATTATATTTCGTATACCAGTATTCAAGAATATTTTTCAAATAAGTTGTGCTGATACCGTAAGTCCACGCAACATCCTCCAACGGCTCCACCAATTCTCTTCTTTTTGCAAGTCGTTCGTTTAAATCGTCGATTACCTTATTGAATAAATTGCGTTTTAGAAAAAAATTATTGCACGTTCCTCTTCAGTTCAGTTTTTCTATGAAAGAACCATTAGTGACGGTTTCAAGTTGTGATATTAGATTTTTTATTGTTTTAAGTCAATTTCTTTCATTTTTTATTATGATTCTTAAAATAATAAAAAATGTATGCAAAATTTAATATTTACTGTAGCTAAAACTTTGTTTTAGCATTGATTAACATTTAGAAAACGGTATTTTACTATCTCTTTTGCTGATCATAAATCCTCCGATAAGATAGGAAATATATTTGGTTACTCGTTGGCCAAGAATTATTACCGCATTTCAGTGGCGCATCCATGAGGGGGGGTTTTGAGGATTAAAACTCTCCCCGAAATTTAATTAATATACCTTATTTTTTTATTAACTTAACAAAAAGTAAAAAATCTGTAGTTAAATAAAATGCGTTCAAACATTTGTATTTTTTGTCTGTTATTAACTATGGTCGCAATTTTAATAATTTAAAATTCACGCCAATATCTTTGCACACAAATAATTATAATAGCCTCTCCAGCTATACTGCTGTTCGAACGTATATAATATCTACTTTAAGATATTCATATTGTGAAAGGATTTAAATAAATTACTTGAGAAACATCTAGCAGCCGTACATATAGACAAATTTTCTGATTATTTAAGCAATCCAGTTAATCTGATTATTTAAGAAAAACTAAGAAAACTCAATATCAATTTATAATTATGCTACTATAAAAATAAATTGTATTTTTTATTAAACAATGTAAAATTTTTATATTTTTTAGTGTGCAATATAAAATTATCCTGACTTTTGGTCATACTGTTTTATTTTGTGTGTGAATTTTAACCCCCCCCCCCCGAAAAAAATATTTTGAGTGCGCCACTGCCGCGATTAATCAGCAAGTGTTCTCGTTTTTTATCTTTAGTAATGGCCGATACGCTGACAAAACAGTATTAAATTTATAAGACGAAAATAAAAATAATAGCAAATTTGGAGATGCAGTATTAATAGCTGACGATAAAATTAACATTTTTTTTCTTACAATTACAATCTAATAATATATCTTGCATAACATACTAACAAGAGTACATATCTCGAAGGTGTCCCAGGGAGAACAACAGGTCTACAAACATCTAATAGACGTCTATTAGACGTTCTTAGACCTGTTGTTCTTCCTGGGGTATTATTTGTTTTAATGAATAAACAAAATTTTTTTGCGTCTACATAACTTACCGACTTTGACACATTAATAACGAAAGGTCGTATTTCCTTCGATGCTCCCTTATTTTTTTCCGGTCCCCAGAAAGTTTCGGGCAAGTTCGGTATTTCTGTGACAGGATTGGAGCTGAACAGAAGTTAACAATCATAATTCTGTTTTATTGATTTAGAGTTGCTAATTAATTATTTATGGTTTCGAACAGTGATGCAAACTCGAGCCGGCCAGCACCAGGGCTCCGTGGTAGGGGAAGCATGCACAAGCGAGAATCGCTACGTCACACGTACGTGTGCGCACACGTACGTGTGACGTAGCGATTCTCGCTTGTGCATGCTTCCCCTACCACGGAGCCCTGGTGCTGGCCAGCTCGAGTTTGCATCACTGGTTTCGAATGTAAAAAGAATTGAAAGACAAAGCGTTAGAAAATGTTTACAGAATTGAGAGTAAAATGTTTTGCGGTGTAAAATATTTGGTAAGCTGTTAAAAATTCATCTATTTAACGCACTCACCGAAATAAAAAAGTTGTGCCGATGGTAACAATCAAAATCACCGTTGTAGTTTTCCACATCATGCGTCCGTTTCGTTTCACGTGAAACACATAACTGAACAAGCAGCAAACGTCGTCGTAGAGACAGGAAAGGGAAAATTGCTGGTCATATGTTTTTGCTTAATGTTTTGTGCACGAATAATACTTTTGAGCACTTCGTCTTCAACACAAGTATTTCAAGTTAACACTCCTTTATTTATCAATTATTTCATTATATTCTAAGTAAATTTTTGATACAACTTTTTTTTCAATTATGACTTACAATTCTTGAAACAGCCAAAAATTACCAGTGGTTGATATTTTTGATATAAAAATTAATTAAAAAAATTTTTTTTTTTAATCTTTGTTTGTACATTCCTTTTCCTTATTGTTCGCTAAACAATAATTTATTATATTTGATATTTTATAAATGTTTTGTATTGACAAATTTAGGGCATTTATTATGTTGTAAATTTTTTATGATAATTGTAATTTTCCCAAGCATTTAGAAAATATTCGAATAAATTCCGCAATTATTTTAATACATAAAAACACATTAAAAACATATTAAAAGATAAAATGTTTAGGATAAATGCAGTTTTAATTATTTTGTTTTTTTAAATAATTGTCTAAACTAATAAAGTACTGTGTCGATACCAATATAGCAAACAATCATAACATCATCGTCGGACCATAAGCGTAATGACGATTTTACAAAGATTTCTAATACTTTTTCTACCGCTTTCAAATTTATAAAATATAATTGTACAACTGTGTTATAATTGCATATAATTATAACTATTAACCAAAAATGTTTAAGTCAATGTTCGAAATTGATGATTAAGATTTCGTTGAGCTAACGGAGTTCGAAATAAATAAAATGCGAATGTGATAATTAAAATTTTTCGGAGCGCATAGCGATCGTGTATACCGAATTAATACATTTAATTATATATATGGGTAACACTTTGACGATGAAATGCAAATAGCTACCATCACTCACAGTATCGATCTACAACATTATGTTTTTAATTTATTTATTGTTTTTAATTGTAGGTAACAAAATATAATTTATAAAATTCACTTAAATTTTGATAGGCTTTTTTATCTTCTTTCCTGCGTTGGGCATGTCTTTATTACTAGTTTTCTTCTTGATATCTTCGACCTTGGACACAAATTCAAAAACATCATCTGCTAACAAAGCCGGCTCTTCGAATGCGGCGAAATGACCTCCACGTGATAAATGGTTAAATTGTATCAGATTGGTATATTTGTCGTGAAGTAGGCTCTCCGGTTGATAGAAGAGCTCGTGAGGGAACACCGCACATGCCATTGGCACATTAATTTGCAATCTAGAAATTAGATGTATGTTAGCAGAGACATAAAAAAACGTATAGTTTCTGTTAAACACAAAAAACTATTTTTATATCGAAGTAAAATTGTAAAAAAGAAAACGAAAAAACACATACTCATCTATTTTGGTTTTATAGTGTTTCGCACTAAAGTTTTCGGAGTAAAGTCGAACGCTCGTAGTAAGAGAATTTGTAACCCAATACAGCATAATGTTATCTAAAAGTTCATCTAAAGTGAATTTCTCGAGCAAACCGCCATCAGCACGAGATTTATATTCTTTGTTTGTCCATGTACTAAACTTTTCCAAGATATATCCTGCCAATCCCGCTGGTGAAGCTGCCACAGCAGTACCTATAAAAAAATTATTTTTGATTATTTGAACTTTAAAAAAATAAATTGCATATCATATGCTAATTATATTAAAAATTTTAACTATTTAAAGGTGAAGTTGATATATCAGCTGACAGTTTAATGAAGAAGCATTAGGAAGAAAAATTATTAACCCTTACGATCTTTCTTGATAATTTTACCTTAATGAAAAATTACAGTTAATGTTTAAAGATTAAGAATTTATAAATTTATTTTAAAAAAATAGTATTTTTGCTCTATACAGGGTGTTTTATTTTAATCTAACCAGGCGAATATTTCAAACGCTGTTGAGTTTAGAGAAAAATGTTTCAGACAAAAGTTGTAGGGTTTGGAGGGGGACACAAGATGGTGGGCTTGAGTTTTTGATGAAGGTAAAATTGAAGGTCATATGAAGGTCAACTTTGTTTTTTAAATAAAATGTAATATTTTCATTGCATATTCTGAAAGAACATAAAATTCTGCATTAAAATTGTCTGACACGTTTTTCATGAAAATTTATAATTTTTGAGGAAATTTAACAAATTTAGCAACCCCGAAAGTGAGAGGCAAGGGGACTCACGTAAATCAAACACCCCGATGGAATCAGATTTTCGTCACGTCCACGCCGTTGATTCCGGGTAACTCTAAGAACGAGAAATGTTCATGAACATGTGCAAATTGATGCATGATTCTCTTTACGAAAAACAAATATTTTTTCTTTAATTGCTAAACTTCCTAAAAAATTATGGATTTTCATGAAAAACGTGTCAGACAATTTTAATGCAGAATTTTATGTTCTTTCAAAATATGTAATAAAAAATACTACATTTCATTTAAAAAAACAAAGTTGACCTTCATATGACCTTCAATTTTACCTTCATCAAAAACTCAAGCCCACCATCTTGTGTCCCCCTCCGAACCCTACAACTTTTGTCTGAAACATTGTTCTCTAAACTCAACAGCGTTTGAAATATTCGCCTGGCTAGATTAAAATGAAACACACAGTATATTATGCATTTAATATGTTATCAATAGCAAATATTTGTCAACTATCTTATATAATAAATCTTTTCGCCTACACAGTAAGATAAAACGGATAAAGTTCCGAATAGGTAAAACGCCCGATTTTTTTGAAACTGCACTATTTTATGTATTTTGGCGCGCTGATTACGAATATGATAATGAAAATCGCCGACAAGGTCATTTTCAAGGACAAACTCAAAAAAAAGTGAAAAATATCATTTTTTTGAGATTATTTCGAGAAATATTGATGTAACGAAAAAATGTCTCAAATAAAAGTTGTAGTTCTTGTAAAAATACATTATGTTCTATGCATTTTTTGTGTAAAACTAATAATTTTCGAGAAAATTTACGTTAAAGATTAAAAACTTTGGTAAACAGGTAGGCCTTAGCTTGCATGCGCATGCCGTTCAAGAATGTAGCGGCGTGTGTGCGTATCCAATTTATGTATATTTATTAAATCTTTGCCTTGCTAAAAATCTAATGAGTCTACAATATACTAAAAATACTAGATACTGAAAAGATTAGCAAGACCCCAACGCAAGGTGTGTGCGCGCAGAAAGTTTATATGAATTAAATCTTTGCCTTAACTAAAAGTATGATGAGT